TCCAGACATCAAAGCATTCACAAATGTTACATTCCATACATCCCTTCTTAGGAAATTACTTGACAGTGAATTCCAGTGAAAAGAAAGACTTAAATACATAAACAAACAAACAAACAAATAAATAAATAAAACATCAAGACAGGGGATCCATGTGGAAAAGAAGAGCAAACCCAAGAAATGAGTAAAAAGGCAAGCTCTGTTCACAAACATAGAGAGCAACCAGTCTGATTTGCAGCAGGAGGACAAAGTCCTCCAGGACAAAAACTTTAAGCAAAAAAAAAAAAAAATACACCCAATGGAAAAGATATGAAAGAGAATGTTTTTTAAATCAGGATATAGTAAGGATATGAAAAGAAAAAAAAACAAAGAAATCACATTAGAAAAGAGAGATGAGGTATTGTGTGCTTGGCTCAAGTATAAAGCAAACTAAAATGTGTCATTACATTAGGCTATTATTGATAAATGGGGGAAGAAAGAGGTAAGAAAAAAATTACTTATTTGACCTTGAGATTTAAAAACATTCTCTTCTGAGTGACCCAGAAGTTACACTGGGATTCATAAAGAAATATAAACTCAGTATACAATTTGACCTGATAGTTGTGAGAAATGCCCTCAGCCGTCCAATGCCAAAGGATGGACACAGAACACCAGGTACAGCAAAACGAGACTTTAATAATGGCCTTGGGGCCAAGCCCATGGAGAACTTGGGAGAATGCGGCGCTGGGAGCGCAGCAGCGCTCCCTCCGCGGGTTCGGATCCTATATAGGGATGGCCTGTGCGCTCACAGTGCTCACTGGCTGAGCGCGGTGTGGCCTGTCTCAAAAGGGACAAAAAAAAAAAAAAAAGGCCTTGCAAGTATGGGTGTCTGTGAATGGGACAGGCACAGGGAAAAGGGCTGTAGCAAGCAATTTATTCCCTAGTGTGCAAGTCTCTCCCCCCACTATCTCATTGACTGAATACTATGGGATGCACAATCTTCCAAAAGGATGCCTAAAATTTATTACCCGCTAGCAAGGAATTCCTTTGTCTGGGGACTCAGGACAAGCCTGCAAAAAAGGCCTGCCAAAGCCCTGTGCAGGGAGAAACACCAGCGAATGAAGAAAACAAAAGGAGCTAGCAACTAATTACCATCTCAAGGAGAGCCTTATCTGTTTAGCAACCCTCTGGGAAAATGAAGAAAACAAAAGGGGCTAGGAACTAATTACCATCTCAGTAAAACAACCTCAGATAAGTCATTTCTGAAAATGAATCACTTATTTTCTTACAATAGTGAATAATATTTAAATAATTATAATGATGTAAATGCTATTTATTGATTTTCAAATTTTAGATCACCTGTGGACCACACATAGAAAATAGGTTATGCTGACGGACATAATATAAATTATTAGTAAACTTGAAAATAAAAATGTGTAGCTAAGTGAAAGGGTACTGGTCAGGGCAGGGGAAGAGGGAAGGTTAAAGAGAAAGGCTAACACAGGCTTAAATATATTAAAATTACAAAGGTAGTTTTGTTGCTGGAGAAAGGAGAGGAAGGGACCCGCGAGGAGCAGCTGTCCCTGAGTCAGGGCCACCCGCCCGGCGCCCTCCTTCCCGGGCATCCTCAGACACGTTCCAACCGTCTGTGGACACATGGTGGATTCCTGTGACGTTCTAGGCGTGCAGACAGGCCTCACCAGAGGGTAAAAAGCGAACTGGAAGCTGGCGCTGAAGTGGCACCCAGATAAAAATCCTGAGAATAAAGCAGCAGCAGAGAGAAAATTCCAGCCACGTGGCATCGATGACAAACACGGCAGAGGAGGGCTCAGCGGTGGAGGCGGGAGGTCGTCTTGACAATCTGTTTGCATTTGGCTTCACGTTCCGGAACCCAGATGATGCCTTCAGGGAATTTTCTGGTGGAAGAGACCCGTTTTCATTCGACTTCTTTGGAGACTCATTTGAGGACTTTTTTGGGAATCGAAAGGGTCCCCTGGGAGGCACGGCGTCATTTTTTCCCTGCCTTCAGTGGATTTTCTTCTGACACAGGCTTTACCTCACTCGGCGCAGCAGGTCACGGGGGCGTCGCTGCATTCTCTTCCACGTCGCTTGGGATGGGCGTGGGATGGGCAACGTTCGATCTGTATCAACTTCCACCAAAATAGTTAATGGCAGAAAAATCACTACAGAGGGAATTGTCGAGAATGGTCAAGAAAGGGTAGAAGTTGGAAGTTCAAGTTTAAGCCAGATAAAGTCGTTAACGATGAATGGTAAGGTGCACCTGCTGCGCTTGGAGAACAGGCAATTCATGGCATGCATTTAACAGAAATGTCGCTATAACAAGCACCATTTGAGGATTAACAGGAACTTTTTTTGAAGATTTCAAACAAACTCGATTTTCAGTATAATTGCACATAATCTAAAGTATTTACAAACAGCTCATCGGAGCCCGTGTTTGTCAGATTTTTGAGTTTATTGTTGGGACCACATAATAGGACCTTTTTTGTGCGTGTGTGTTAAAAATTGTTGTAAATCTCTGTAGGCACTTTGCTTTTTTATTAAACGTAATCCAGGGTGAGCAGTGACGTTTTAGTAGCGGTCGGACAAGACATGGACTTGCTTTTCCACTGTGTTTGAAAAATGAGCCAAGTAGTGAGCCTGCTATGAAGTTAACATTGTCAGGACAAATCTTCTACAGAAATAATTTCAATTCTTTTCAATATACAGTAGTGAAAGATATTAATGCATTAATGGTAACACATTTCTGGTTTAATATAAATTAAGGATGTTATACTTGTGCATGAATGCTGGCCACTTAGTTTTGACAATCGTTCAAATATGTAATGTTAAAAAAAAGGATAATAAATGCTAATGTGGTGCAAAAATAAATAATTAAAGAAATAAAATTACAAAGGTAACAATACAAAACTTAAAATTGGGATATATATCAAAACGAAGAGGAAAGGAAAATGGAGATAACAGTATAAGTGTATTAAATCCAAATTTTCCATCTCAAAGAATCAATTCAAATTGATGAATTTAATCAAGTTGATAAATCAGGAATCACAGGTATATCTTCTAAAATTCTAGAATCAACAGAATTGAATAGGAAAAACAGTTTAAATTGTTTTAAATTTTAAACAATTTAAAATTCTTTTAAAACAAATAAGTAGGATATATAGCTGGGGATAAGTAAATGGGGAAAACTTACTATTCATCCTAAGATACTCTCGATTATTTGATTTGCTCCCATTTGGTTATATTACTTTAATATAAATATTTTTTTTTCCTTTGTCTTTTTTTTTGAACGGTAAGGGGATCGCAACCCTTGGCTCAGTGTGGTCTGCACCGCGCTCAGACACTGAGCACAACGGCCATCCATATATAGGATCTAAACCCGGGGCCTCGGTGCTACCAGCACCGCACTCTCCCGAGTGAGTCACGGGGCTGGCCCCTAATATAAATATTTTTATTATTCATTTATTATTGTTCATTTATTCTAGAAGCCCAGAGTATTTTAAGCTACTCAGCCTATATCAAGCCTTGCTGTCTTACACTATGTTGTCACCCCATGTTCTCCTTGCCTTCTCTATGATTTTGTTCCTTAGTTTATTCCTACTCTCTATTACGTTTGATTTGCCTTCTCCTGTCCTTCCCTTCAATGTTAAGCCATGACAGGTCTCCCCTATACTAGGGCAAACAAAAAGAGTTCAGTTGATTGGAATGTCCTGTATAACTCCTGTTCTATTTCACTTCTACCTTTCACTTTCCAACTTTAAAAAGTAGTCTTTATTTCTCCTGAAATCTGGTTTTAAACACTGTATTAGTCTGTTTGGGCTGCTATGACAAAACACTGCAAACTGGGTAGCTTATAAATAACTAAAATTTGTTTCTCACAGTTATGGAAGCTGGGAAGCCCAAGATCAAGGCGCCTGCAGATTAGATGTCTAGTGAGGGCCTGCTCACTGTCTGACAGATGGTGCCTGCTTGCTGCATCCTCACATAGGGGAAGGGGTGAACCAGCTGCCCTGGGCCTCTTGTATAAGGGCACAAATCTTATTCAGAGGGTTCCACCCTCATGACCTAATCACCTTCCAAAAGGCCCCACCCCATAATACCATCACTATGGGAATTAGGATTTCAACATATGAACTGTGGGCAAACATTCAGACCATAGCAAGCACCAAATGTAATGATGCTTTCATAGTCCTCATTCTACTTAATATCTTATCCAAGCATTTCACATGGAGACTTTCCTTTTAGCCTTTTTTTCCTGAGGTGAGAGTGAGAATGGAAGGGGAGTGAAAACATCTCACAAGACCAGTGTTCCAAGCAACATCTGGAGAAATGTTATGTAAAGTGTTCTAATTACAAATTCATCACTGCTTTGTTCAAGGATACTTAATCTTCTGTCTTTTGGCACTGAAGAAAAAATCTAACTAAAAACAACCAACTCTTCAACACAGTATTGAGATACTTATTAGCTATACTTCATTGCCTTTCCTTCCATAATCATACAAACATGCAAGAAGACTAATAATAGAATACAAACCTGATTTAGGAAAACACTCTAAAGATATCAAATTGGACCCAAAGCTAAAACTGATGACATATTCCCTCAATACAGTTTTCTTGTAGTAAATCTCAACATTTCCCACAGAAAATAGTAAATATCTTACAAATGAAGAGGAAAAACAAAAAAGAAAACTGTACAAGAAAACTAGTGAATGAACTAAGAAGGTAAAGATTCTGAAATTCACCATTAGACAATATTCTGGTTTTCTTTCAAATATAACCAATTTTGACTTTTAAAAGTGTATTAATTTGTTGCTTTGGGCCATTCACATCTATTTGCAAGAAAGAAGGCACATTTTTGGTAAGATAGTCAAATCAAAAAGACCCATATAAAGCTTTAGTTTTGAATCTCAAAGTTATAGGTACAAGGAAAAAAAACTAACTAAGGGAACCATATTTATAAAAAAAAACTAGCTGATTTTATTATTATTATCAATACTAAACAAGTCTTTAAATCAATTAAAATTTATTTAATTAAGCATAAAGTTACCTTCACATTTGTCTACAACCAGAGTAAATACAATTCTTGGCATAAAGACACAGGCTTTGGAGTTTAAAACATCCCCAACTGCAAGATTACATATATAAAATTCCCATTATTGTTTATGTAATAGTGGATTAGTTAATCAAATTAAAATAATTATACTACCTGGGATAAAATAAAATGAAAATAATTTACTCATAAAATTCATATTTAAATCATCTTTATTTACAAAATACTATCCTGAGAATTATAATTCCATTAAGTTTCAATTTGAGTAAAAGTTTAATCATTTAAGTAACAGTAGTTACTTAAACTGAAAATGAGAGATAAGTCAAAATTATTTATTAAGAGAGACCAACAATATTGTCAGGCTTCTTGCTGTGGTTCTGGATTTCAGTAGTAGGCTCATTTGAAGGTGGAACTGATCTTGAAGGGAACTCACTCCTACTTTCAGAATGCGGGGGTGGAGGGAAAAATCCAGCTCTTGGAGGAACATTAGGAGGTAAACCCCTCGGTGAATAGACATTTCTCACTGTTCAAAGAGATTGGAAAAAGACATTTTTTAACTTTAAGAACCTGTACTGCAGCCCTAATAAATCACTAGCATATAATTTCTAATACCTATCTTTATATTTAGAAATGAGGTAACAAATTAAGTTTTACAGTGTTGAGAAAATGTATTTTCTTCAACTACACATGATTAAAGGGATTATCATTAATTTTAGAAACAATTTTTGTCCTATTTTAACACTTCAAAAAAATTAAATTATTTTTTTCAAAAATACAAAATATATAAAACTTACTTCAAAAAACATTTCCATGTAATATAATTTTCATCAGATTTAAAATTCAGAACAGTTATTCCCAATTCTGATTTGATATTATACTTCAACATTCCAGTTAGATCAAACATCATCTTAAAATTCCCCAAATAAAATTCATTTTAATTCACCTTAAACTTTAAAAATAGAGGAGGAATGAGGGAAGGAATGATTACATAAGACAAATAGGTTTTTGCCTAGTATTTGGTAAGCATATATTTATTCTGCAGAAATCTATAGTTTTAAGTGGTAAAGTATAGATATAAAAGTAATAAATTACTACTTTTTTCTTACGTGAGACTATTAAAAAATTACAACAGGGCCGGCCCGGTGGCGCACTGGATAGTGCGCCGCTTGGGAAGCGCGGCAGCGCTCCAAAAAAAAAAAAAAAAAAAAAAAAAAAAAAAAAAAAAAAAAAAAAAAAAAAAAAAAAATTACAACAAATTTAACAATTAGGCCAAACATGATAAACACATTTTAGGCTTTCATTAAGAAGTATTACATGGGAACTACTTATGAAAAAGACTTTCAAAAACACATTGGTAGTAGTTTTAATGCTAAAATATAAATTATAATTATTTTAACTAATTGCTATAATAACCAGTTCATTTCAAATAATATACAAATAATTTTAGTTTTAACATAAGACTTGCAAAAAGCTAATGATTTTCTTGATTACTAAAATATAGAAATAATTTCATATTATTAAAATGAATCAAGTTGAAGTCTTATTACAGTCTGTTGCTGTCTGCCTTCCCAGTTTGGAAAAGCATTGAAATCTTTTTTGCTTTTTGTTTTTGTAGCTAGTCGGTATAGGGATCTGAACCCTTGACCTTGGTGTTATCAGCACCATGTTCTAACCAAGTGAGCTACTGGGTGGTCTGCCCCCAATTTGGAAAAGTAACGGTATACTCACAGAACATGAGAAAAATTTTTCCTCCACTGTATTACTATATAAACAGATAGTAAACTTAATATCTCTTATTTACTGTATAAAACATATTACATTTTTAAACAAAGCATACTTGCAAATGGAGGAGGTGGCTGGACAGGGAAAACCCTTGGTAGAAAATAATTTCGAGGAACTCCATACATGCTTCCTGGAGGAGGTGGAGGAAAAGGAGGTTCTCTTCTCATGAATGGACCCCTTGTATCCACTGGAAACAATGGACCTCTGATTGCAGAAAAAGGTGGAGGAACAAAGCCAGGACCAGTTGCTTCACTTTCAGCAGGTAGAGATGAATTAGGCACATTTACATTCTATAACAAATTGACATATGGAAGTCACTAAAACAACAGCAAAATTTGCACAGTTTTACTGAAATCCTTAGGCTCAGAAAGAAAGCACCTGGGCACCTACATAGAGCAGTCCATGACAGTCTTAGAAATCTCCAGAGGAAGATTCAAATGGTTTTCCATATTAACATATCAACTGGTTTTTAGCTATCACAGATATTTTAACTCAACAGAAAACAGCTTTAATCAACAAAGTAATATTCTGGCTAAAGATAAAACAGAAATATAATCTAAGAGTACCAAAGTATACCTCATTTTATCAAGCACATACTGAAAAAAAAAGGTATGATGCTTATGTTTATATTTTCAATACTGTAAATGTAAAAAACAATATTGTAAATGTAGTAAACAAAAATATACTTTAAAACATTCAAATAAAAATCCAAGGGGGAAAATCCAAAATCCTGTTTGAATAGTAAACTAACTCAAATCCCTAGTCTACAAGTTGTACTTTATCACCATAGGTTACAATCCAGAAAAGAAACAGCTTTAATGCTAAGTAGGAAGTACATTTGTTAAGAGAGAGAAGTGGCTTTATATCAAAAACTAGATTATTGGCTGTATTTCTATTCTACTAAAGCAAGAGATTAGAAGGCTCCTGAATACATGGATAAAATAACACTTTCAATACTTACACCAAGATCGTCTTTGGTATCATTTCTATTGGATTCCATTTGCGAAGACATTGGCCCATCTAGACATAAAAGTTAAACCATGAAAAATACATGATTTATCATTGCATTCCTAGAATATTTCAGATCACAAAGGACACTGATATTTTCCCACTCCCCTTGTTGGCACATAAACCAGTTTGACACAAGCATCCTATATTGGGGCCACAAGAAGAGCTTGAGGTTCCTGTAAAGTTTGGCAGATGCAGAGTTCTGCAATAGCATGTGGCAGTGATTTCTCCAGCTTGTTCCTTTATCCAATCCTGCTGCAGCAGCATCACAAGGAGACATCTGGGAGAAAACACTGGAAAAAAACTATTTTTCCCCCTCTCCCTCCTTCCCACTCTTCTGTCTTTCCTTATTCCTCCATCAAGTAACACTGACTAGCCACTTGAATTTAGCCACTGTTTCTAAATAAATGTTCCAGGACTTTGTTATCATCAAGAACTGCTCTCTGTCTGAGGACATAAATTCAAACAACCCCCTCTGGCCACATCTACCTATTCTCTCTTAGCTTTCCCACCTAGTCACTCTCACTACACCTGTCCTTGGATGTCACTGAGGCTTTCAGTCCTCTAAACTAACTCTCAGTTTCCTCCCTTTTTCACTTCCTTCCCTAATTAACTAGACTCCAAAGTCCATCACTAGTAACTCATCAATATCCTAGTCCTGTTGGCCATTTTTCACTTGTGCACAACAACATTCCAAGCCTAAATTAATCCAAATCTCTGCTTCCACTCTGCCTGTACCTGAGCCACCTATCACTGCAGCAGATAAAAAAAAAAAAATCACAAAGCCATGCACACTGTTACCACCCAAGCGGACGCATCTCCACCATAATTCCAGTTGCAGTCTGGCCTTCCTTCTGTGCCTTTTAAGCCAGTTTTCTCCTCAGCAATTTCAAACCTCCATTCTCCTCAAACCTACCACACTAGTCACTTAGAAATGCTCTTTCTGTGATCAAACATATAAACAGACAGCAACTCTATTCCTATGACCTTTCCTCCTATTATCATGTAAAAGAATCCTTCTAGACAATCTACGATCCTGATCCTGTGTTCAGAATCTTCTCCTGCAGCTTCATCAGGAACCTTCCTCTCTCCGTTGGCTCCCTCCTCCCTTTCTGCTAGATCCAAGTCTCTTCTGTCTTTTTAAAAATGAGAGAGAAAAAGAAAATCCCCCTCCAACTACCTCTCTCCTTCACCATCAGGAATTGTTCTATGTATACACTCATACTGTTCAGAATTCCCTTCAATTAGTCCTCATTTTACTGCAATCTATTTGTAACATCCACTGCAAAACTGGAATTACTTCCCCAAAAATCAAAAAGTCTCTTTTTCCTTTGCTACATTAAAATAGACACTTTTAGTCTTTACTTTACATTACTTCCCACCATTGCTGACTACTCCCCACCTCTTGAAATGCTCTCAGCCTTCTATTTCAGTGATCGGACCCATTCTTCTCTTTAGCTCTCTTTTCTAGCTGCTGCTTGGCGGGCTCCATACCTCTGACCACCTTAAATGGTGGCATCCTCAGAGTTCCACCCTCAGCTCTATTCTCTTCTCATTCTCTCTTTGAGAAATGCCATCCACTCCTATATCTTTAATTAAATATCTACTACTAATGACTTCCATATCTATTATTCAGATCCAGATATTTCTCCCAGGACTTCAAAGCTTGGCCTGCCTACTTAGACATACAGGTGTATCACAGGTGCTGCTAATTTTGTAAATTCAAAATGTAACATAATCTTTCCCATCAAACTTGCTCCTTGTTCCTTGTCTCAGAACAATGAATGGCACCTCTTTTCACCCAGGTGCCACAGCCAGAATCTTGGGCATCAGTCAAGACTCCTCTCTAACACCTCCCACACACCTCCAAACCTAAATCCTTCCAATTCTCTTTTCTCTCTGTCTGTTCACATTGATCTATCCACTCTGCTAAATCACGACCACAACTCATCTAGATTCCTGTCAAAGCTCCTAAAAAGTTACCCCACCTCCAATCCTTATCATTCCTTCTCATCTATTCTCCATAATGAAATCAAAGAAACTTCTCTAAAATGTGGCTCTAATTATATTATTTCACTGCTTAGGGTCCTTTAATGTGTTCCCATTATCCTGTGAATAAGGTGCAAATTTCTGAACGGGGTTTGCAAGGCTTTGCAAAATCTATACAATGCTTATCTCTTCAGCTACTTGTTTCAATACAGTAGTCCCCCCTCATCCACAGGGGCTATGTTCTAGGACCCCCAATGGATGCCTGAAACCGAGAATAGTACTGAACCCTATATATACACCATGGTTTTTCCTATACATACATACCTATGATAAAGTTTAATTTATAAATTAGTCACAGTAAGAGACTAACACAATAAATAATAATAAAACAGAGCATTTATAATGATATACTGTTCACAATTTCATGGATAGAAAATTTATTCTTACTGTGTATCTTCACAACCTCAGGATACAATTTTTTTTCTTTCCTTATTATGTTGAGAACGTTTGCCTTTTCACTTAATGGAAGCACTTTCAGGCTTCTCTTTGGCACATCCAAATTGCCAGCATCACTACTCTTGCGCTTTGGAGCCACCATTAAGTAAAATAAGGGTTATCTAATCACAAGCACTGTGATACCTTGACAGTGGATCTGATAACCAAGAAGGCTACTAAGTCACTATGAGGGCAGGTGGTGTCTACAGCATGGATACCTTGGACAAAGGGATGATTCACTTCCCTGGGGGGATGCAGGGGGACAGCACAAGATTTCATCATGCTACTCGGAATGACATGCAATTTAAAACTTATGAATTGTTTATCCTGGAATTTCCCATTTAATATTTTTGGCCCATGGTTGACCCTAAGTAACAGAAATCACAGCAAGTGAAACTGCAGAAACAGGGGGCAACTGTATTCACTGACTCACACACATTCCATATTGCAGCCATAAGTTACTAGGCACCTATTAGGCCTCATGGCTAGTTTAACATCAGCATAGCCAGGCTAAGCAAGTTCCCCTCCTTCCCCCCACCCCTTTCCCGCTCTGGAAACTGAGCAGCAAAATTCCTCTCCTGGGAAGGGGTAAACATGACTGTTATCATCAAAGGAACATCTTATGGGTTGCTGTAGCCGGCTTCAGGCTGGAGCCCTTTAAACTGATATAGGGGCAATATTAATTAGAAGCCTATGCCCTAACCAACCAGGTGTTAGTGGACCATGAGGGCTGTGTCAAGTTGCATACCACTGATTTCGAAATTGCCCATTACTCTTACTCTGCCAGAACCCTCAAAGGCTCATAAACCCTGTTTTCTTTTGTTCGGGGGAAGGAACGGATCTGACTAAGTCTCCCCTCCACATTTGTGGAAATAAAGCTGCTTGGCTGAAATGGCACCTGGCTTGGGTCTCTTTCTCCCTTTTCTCCATCTTTGCCAAACCTAATATTTATTGGTGCCCAACATGGGGCTGGGTAGTTTGGCTTCAAGGTACCCAGGCCACGAACCTGGCAAGGCACCCTCCCTTCTCCCTCTCTCTGAGATCGCCCACTAAAAGGAGGCATAACTGATGGCAACTGAAGGCCCTGGAGATTTCTCTCTTTCTCTTCTGCTTTGCCTCATCTATCCTGTCCCAAGACTCAAACCAGCTGCTTTTCGCCACCACATTCCATTGCTGATTCCTACATCCAACACAGACTACTGATCACTGCTTAGGTGAGTGAATTCTTGTTTCCCTCTCACTGTGGGACCCCATTCACAGACAGTCCAGGACTGTCCTCAAAACCCCGGTGCCGGGGTGGCGGCTCTCCTCTCAGCCACACTGGTGTCTAGGCACCACTATACTTAGGGACACCTAGTGTTGTTGGTTTGCCTCTCACTCTCAGATCCTCAATGATTTCCAGGGACATCTGGTCTTTGCTGAAGGATCTCAGGGACCTGAATTTCTCTTACCCCCCAAATTTATATTTCATCTCATGGGCAATCAGGCCTCTCACACTACTCTCACCTGATACCTGCCCAGAATGACATTTTCTTCTGCAACACTGCCTGGCCACAATACAAACTGGATAATGAAAGCCAGTGGCCAGAACATAGCACTTTTGATTTCCAAATTCTTCACAATTTAGAAAGCTTCCTCAGATGCAATGGATAGTGTTCTAAAGTCTGCTATGCCCAAGTCTTTGTTTACCTTCATTCTCGACCCTCTCTCTGTTGCTCCTGAACTACTTTGCAGATACTTCTTTTACAAACCAATCCCAACTCCCCATCTTGGGTAACCACTCCCTGTCTTGGGGTAATGCTATGGGACCCATGGCAAATCTGACCACTCTGTCACTGGATCACAAACCTCACCACTTTGCATCAGGCTACTCGGATAGACACAGAATATACAGTAAATTAGGCTATATGCTCCCATCACGCAGTCTTACAGGCAAAGGGAAAAAAAGTTCAAAGGAGCCAGTCTCTGGCAGGGTTTGTTTAGAAACCACAGGGATCATTTAACAACCTTGTATGTGTAACATTCTTAGCTAAAGGTGGAATGTGGAATATTTCCTATAGTGACTGAAACAGTTTCAGCTTACAGCCTGCAATGGAACTCCGTAGCTAACACCTAGCCTAATGGTTGAAAAGGAGTAACTACAGCCGCCAAAGTAGTGGAGGAACAATAGGCGACCCTCTCTTTTCTCTGTTCCTTCGCCACATGCTTCGGAGCATGTTACGCTGAACGTTGTGTACTTTGCATTCTTCCTCACTTTTCTGTTCCCTTTTCAAGCATCTTCACTCTGTAACACTCTTTTTATGCTGTTTGTTTGTTTAAAAGGTACCATTTGGATGTAAAAAAATGACTCAAGGATAAAAAAGCCAACATTTTGTATGTTTGGGAAAGGTCGGTACACTTGGGTTTGAACTAAGTTTGTGCCTTTTGGTCATTTAAAATCTGGTGACCAAAAAGTTTTCTCACTGAGTTTCTCTGGGCAAGTCTGAAAAACAGAAATTGATCTACAAAATTACAATTGGCTACATCTC